AGGTTACCTTTTCTGAAAAGACATGAAAAATTGATTTGAACACAATGCATCAAAAATACTAAAATCAGGGACTGGGAATGTGGCTTAGTGGTAGAGTGCTTGCCTAGCATGCATAAAGCCCTGAGATCAATTCCTCAGTACCACATAAACAGAAAAAGCTAGAAGTGGTGCTTTGTGGCTCAAGTAGTAGAGAACTAGCCTTGAGCAAAAGCAGCTCAGGGATAGTACCCAGACCCTGAGTTCAACCTAGGACCAAACAAAAAACAAAAACAAACTAAAAATATATAGAGAAATCCTATAAGTCTATTTAAAGAAAAGGGGCTAAGATTAACCCTCAGGATGGGAGTGCCAGCCTAGGTGCACAAAGGTCTGAATTTGAGCCCTGTAACACACACACTCTCACTCTCTCTCTCTCTCTCTCTCTCTCTCTCTCTCGCTCACACGCTCACACACACACACACACACACACACACACACACATACACGCGCGCACGCAGAATAAGACAAATAACCCATAGAAAAAACAGGCCTAGAATATACTTAAGTATTTAATGAAAGAGGGAACAAATGTGGCCAGTAAAATCGTATTAGGCCTTACTGAACATTAGAAAAAACAAATTTCATCATGAGCACAAAAACACCACATTTTATTTATAACCCTACCAATCTAGATACATCAACTATTTCTGGTTACTATAACTTTATTTCTCTTGCATGTTTATGTTTTATTTTCCTTATTTATTTTACAGTGTGGATTTGAATCTAGGCATGTATTAGGCAAGCATTCTACCACTGAGCATTTTTTTTGCTTTTTTTTTTTTTTGAGACAGGCTCTTTCTGTTTAGCTTAGGCTGCCTTGAACTTACTATGTACCTTAATCTAGCCTTGCATTTATAGACTTGCCGCCTTTTTCCAAGATGTTGTGATTATAGGTATGTGCCATAACACCTGGCTTTTTCTTTAAAAGTTTGAGCTCATTTATGGTAACAGATTGGGACTTTTGGGGGGAAGGGGCGGGGGTGGGCCCTGGGACATGAACTGTGTGTGTGTGCAAGCGCACATGTGGGCCCTAGCTTTTTCACTCAAGGCTGGTGCTCTACTACTTTAGGCACTGCTCCACTCTGGCTTTTTGCTGATTAGTTGGACATAGAAGTCTCTAGGACTTTTGTGCCCAGGCTGGTTTTGAACCATGATCCTCAGATCAGCCTCTTGAGTAGCTCAGATTATAGATGTGGGTCAATGACACTTGGCTTAGCCAAGGGCATTCAAAATGTCATCTTGACATGGCTAGGAATTTGTTGTAACTGACTGAACCCCCTCCCTTCCTATTTTGACAAACGGAGTCCTCCACATTACTTCTGCAGTCAAGCCTTCTATGGAGGAAATATCTGATGTATCCTGTCTGCTCATCTAAAGATTAAAACATTATGCCCTCTATCTCAGAATAAAGAGCTCAGTGATGTTTGAAACTGCAGGAAAAAAGCCTTGACAGTATTTGTGTAGTTCTTCCTTCAACATATAATTTTCATGTATTTGAATAAAATGCTTGATGAAAGAGGAAACAGAATCATTCAGAAGGCAGAATACAATTTAAAATAAGGATCCTATGTAAAAAGAACATAAAACCATATGTTTTTGAGAATTAGGAACAAAAGAATAAACAATCTGTGAGTCAATTAAAAAACGTTTCTGTACTAAATCTACTTGATTTGAAAGTTTGGGTCAGAAAAAAATTTCAAATGTGAGGCAATATAAATATAGAAAGAGGAATATGTGACAAAAAGAAAAGTAGTCTAGGATCTCTCTAAAGGAAAAAGTAATCAGAAACAATAAAGACAGGCACCAGTTTGCTTATACCTGTAATTCTAGCTACTCTGGCTGAGATCTGAGGATTGCCAACCTGAGCAGGAATCCAATTAACCACTTAAACTCCAGAAGTGGAGGTGTAGGCTCAAGTGGTAGAGTACTACCCTTGAGCAAAAAAACCTGACAGTATTCAAGTTGAGTTCAAGTACACATGTACACGTACACACACACACACACACACACACACACACACACACACACACACACACACACACACACACACACACACACACACACACTCCTAAGTCAAGATCAATAGCCACCAGAAGAAAGTAGAACTGTTCGGGGCTGGAAAGGTGGCTCAGTGGTAGAGCGCTTGCCTTGCATGCCTGAGGTCCTGGGTTCGATTCCTCAGCACCACATAAGCAAAAAGAAAAAAGCCGGAAGTGGCGCTGTGGCTCAAGTGGTAGAGCACTAGCCTTGAGCTGAAGAGCTGAGGGACAGCGCCCAGGCCCAGAGTTCAGGCCCCACGACCGGACCCAAAAAAAAACAAAAACAAAAAAGAAGTGGAACTGTTCTGCATGCTAACTGAAGCTATGGTTACACAAATTCACGAGTTAAAATTAAATTAAAATTGAAAGCTGTAGACTCCACAGAAATTGGTATTACTCAATGTTTTCTAAAATTAAATATATGTACACAGATAAACTACTTATATCCCCTCAAAACTAGACTTAAAAAGTGGTAACCCTTCTGTATAAGACCTTAGCAATAAAATAGTTTAAAATTTTACTAAGAAAAACCAGAAACAACTTAACTGTGGTATATCAACCAACTGAATATTGCCTAGTATAAAAGAATGAGAATTGCCAACAACAAACTGCAAAACGATTATGCTGAATGAGCCACTACTACTCAGGAGGCTGAGATATGAGGACTGCAGTTCAAAGCAAACCTGAGCAGAAAAGCCCCAGTACCGTAACACACACACACACACACACACACACACACACACACACACACACTATTAGTAATTACTCTTCCAGAACATAGTAAGTTAACCACCGAGACATGCATGTTAAAATACTAAAACTGATTAAACTAGTATTAAATTTTCAGATTGGAAAGGAAAGTGAAAAATTGCAGAAAGCTCGTTGGCAGAAGAAAGTTAATCAATAACTCAACATGCACACCTTTCTAGATAATCTCATATGACTTCACTGAAACAAGTGTCCATGAACAAAAAGCCACTACGTCTGACTCCCATAACTCCAAAAAAAAATCTTCAGCTACCATCATTTCTCTTAATCCAAACTGTAGTTCCAGTATGACCATTTATTCAACTGCTAGAGTCAAAAACTCAGAAGCAATATTGGTCCAATTATTTGTCACTTCCCACAAAGAACTAGGAGAAAATTCTATTATATCAGCAATATTATTTAAAATGATCCACTAGTGCCAGAATCACCTGGGGTGCTTGTTAGAAATGGGTACTACTAGATTCAGTACCAAACAGATGGTACGGTTCATTTTTAAAAAAATCATGGACACCACTCTCCAGATTATTCTTCTCACATGATTCACCACTGGGTTAGGAATTTTCTTTGAAGCAGTTCCCTTTGCTACACACAACCCAAGAAGCACAGACATTAAGTTCATACAAGGAAACATATTATTTCATTTAAATAGTTAAATTAGGTTTCTGCTTTAATCTTCAATTTCCATAAAGGACTTTTCATGGTAGCAAATGTCATTTACTGTAAAAGCTTCGAACTTCACCCTTGCCTCTTTTCAAAAGAAACTATTTTAGTAGGACTGAGGGTGGAACTCAGCCTCATGCTTGCCAAGAAGCATTCCCCCACTTCAGCTTACTTCCTCTTCCCACTTGTTATTTCTGATAGGGTCTTGCTTTTGCCAGGATTAGCCTGGAAGATGACTCTCCTATTTGCATGTCCTATCACTTACTGGTATGACAAGTTTGTGCCACCACATACAGTTTTTTCGGTTACTGGGATGGGGTTTCTCATTTTTGCAAGGGCTGGCCTCAAAACTACAATTCTTTTGATCTCGGCCTCACCAGTAGCCACCCTAAGAGGTATGAACCACCACAGCCAGCTTGAAAGAAACTTAAAGGTACTGTCTGTGGGAAAAAAATATGTTAATATTAGTATTTTCTTTCGTTCTAAAATCACCATTTTATTAGTTCAGAGCAGTGAATATTATAAACTTTTCTTTATCCTGTGATCAAATTCTAGTCAAGAATTAACACTATCTATAATTGCAGGGAAAAAGTTTCCCTGTGTTTCCGAAGCAGAAGTAACAAAATGAGAAATTAAAAGGTAGAATCTAATTCTAAAGCCTACGTCGTCCTCAATCTAATCTACCTTACTATATTTTGTTCAAAGTGCTTCAGTTGAACAAATTAGAAAAAATATTTAAGCTGGGCACCGGTGACTCATGCCTGTAATACCAGAGACCCTAGAGGCTGAGATCAGAGTACCGTGGTTCAAAGTCAACCTGAGCAGGAAAGTCCATCAGACTTGAATCTCCGCAATCAATCACCAAAAAAGCTGGAAATGGAACTGTGGCTCATGTGGTAGACCACTAATCTTGTGCAAAACAGCTCAAGATCCATGCTCAGGCCTTGAGTTAAAGTCCCAGGAACAGCACCAAAACAAAAACAAAAAACAAACTTCCTTTCTATGTTAAAAAAAAAAATCCTTGTAAATGTAAATGAAGTCAAACATTTCTTTTAAAACTGTTAAAATTCCAAATACATTTCCTGATACAACCGATTTTTTTAAGACCAGTTACTGGAAGATATGGCTACATGCAAAGCAAGAGTTTGATCTCTAGAACCACTGGAAAAAAAATGGTTAGTTATTAAAATCTCTAGCTAGTTCACAGAAGTTTAATAATAAAAGTCCAACTCATTATCTCTGATCAATCACGAAGACTCAATGACTGTCCCCACTTGAAGAACATGAACAGGCAAGATCAAATTCATTTTAAGGGCTACCCTTAGAAAAAAAGAGGAAATGATGCAGACAGACTGCAGACAGGGTTTCAGGGTTATTTTTTAAGACAACTGGTTAAGTTCTTTAATTATGAAACACCATGAGACATTAAAGTACATCCTCAATGTATCCCATCCACAGAAGATTTCACCCACAGAAAAATTACTGTATCCTTACCCTACGCATGGCTTCCTCCTCTTCTTGACGCTTCTCATAATGTGCAAAGTCATCAAAGATTGAGGTGGTATGCTTGAAAGTAGCAATTATTTTAAGCACTTGCTTTGCTTTTTCTAGGGGTACTTCTTGAGTGTCCCTTGAATTGGTTACTGGTTTGTTGTCATTATTTTCTAAGCGAATATGCCGTAACTGGTTATTAGGAACATCTTTGACAAAGATCCATTTAACTTCAAATTTGCCCTTCCACTTATCCTGAGACCAGACACCAGCATACGCATTATAGTCCACAACAGACTTCATTTCAGCCACTCCACAAAAATGTCCACTGCCATTCACACTGAAGAGTAAATAGAGTGGGCCTTTACCATTCAGGGATCGGTAAGCTGCATCCAAACGCTTATTACCATGCTCAGTACTACACCAGATAGAGTATTTAATAGAACGATGTATGTCATCCTCAGAGTAGCTTTTAATTATAAACACACGTCCATTCTTCAGGTTCCAATCAAAGTCTTTGGGATTATAGTTGTTTATGGCCTTTAGCTTTTCCAGCACTGGATGCACCTCTAAGCTAGAAGGTGAAGCACTGACAGGTACTACACCTAAACCAAAGTTTTCATTGCCTGCTCCATTGTTCTGGTTGAAGCCAGCCCCTCTGTTCCGAGGAGCTACCCAGCGATTCTGCAGCGGCTGCTGTTGAGGCTGCACTTGGTGAGGCTGGGCCTGAGGCTGAGGTCCTTGTTGCTGCTGTGGTTGTGGTGGCTGAGGCTGCTGTTGAGGCAGTTGGCTTTGCACCAATGGTGGTGGTTGAATTAATGGCTGAGGCTGCTGGATTATAGTCTGAGGAGGCAGAACTGGTTGGGTTGGTGGAGCCTTGACCACTGACCCCTTTTCATCCCAAGTTCCAATATTCATGTTGTGTTTTATAGGAGGTGGCGGCACAGCAGGACCCCCAATTCCCACATTGCCCTTGGGTTTAAGTTTCGGTTGTGGCTTGGCAGGCTTTCTGGCAATGGCAGCCCAGGAGGTCGGTTTAGGTGCTGCACTGCTAACTGGGGGCACGCTGTTGGTTGCAATGCTAGTCATACCAGTGCTGCTCAAGGCTGTACCTACAGTTTTTGTCACTGCAGCTGTCAGGTCACCACCAATTTTCAGTCCAGTCATGCCTTGCTCAATACTGCTAATACCAGGTACCTTACTCAAAGTATCATTGCCAAATCCAGCCTGTCCATCAGTAATAGCTCTCCCAAGAGAACTAGGTGGATAACCATAACTGCTACTATAAGCAGAACTTTGTGTTGATTGTCCCTGAGATCCACTTGTCCCCCATGTAGAGAAATCAGCATTACCAGGAAAAAAGTTAAATCCATGTTGACCAAGAAATGGAGGGGTATTGCCTAATGCCCCAGGTTGACTAAAAACACCATCTGGTATATAATGATGCTCTCCATTACTCATTTGTCCATATGTTGTCAGATATGGCATAGGCTGATCTCCAGCCGTGGACCATGCTGCTTCTCCCAATGAATATGGAAATCCAATGGATGGAGCATAGTAACTAGGCATATATGGATCTGACATTGGTGGATAGCTGTTACTCTGAAAAACAGAAGATCACAATCAGTAGGAAATGTCCTAAGGAAAGAAAAAGATATGTGAAAGATTAAAATCAAAGCTTAAATAAATGAAAAAGAGATGTATTTACAACTATAAAATTAAAATTCTAAATCCAACAGTATAAGCCAAAAAGTTTTTAGTATTTGTTGTTGGTGTTGTTTTGAGACAGGGTCTTGATACATAGCTCAGGCTCACCTTGAACTCATGATCTTCATTCCTCAAACCTCCAAGTGCTGGGATTACAGGCATAAACTAATGTACCCAGCTGCAAATGAATATATTTTTTAAAAACTGCTACAAAATTACTATAAAGGTTAGGAATGGAAAAGGGATTATTTTTGTTTGAAGGGTCACAATGCTCTGTCAGTTTTAAAATACTGAAATTTCTACAAGAAGCATATTCATAAACTTCACTGGCATTCAATGTAATTAAGTCAGTCTGCTTTAAGTAAACTATATATTAAAACATTACGTTTAAAACTTAAATAAAGCTGAGAACTATGTCAAATGAAATTAAATACCAGTTTATATGATGGTTCAAAGATTTAAAAAATGTGTTTTGGAAAAAATAAAATGAAGAGCTACATTTTGAGAAGAAAAAAAAAAAAGAGATTCAAGATTACAGTGGTAGTTAGTTTAAATGTTAGTTAATGACCCAAGATTTTTATTTTTACTGTCTTCACTTTGAAAAGTAAAACAAAACTCTTATCTTAACTTCTTAAGGTTAAAAGATAAACTTTTACAATGTCCTCTACTTCTCAAATTTTATGCAATAAAAGTTAAAACTGGCTTATTGTAAGTTCTTAAATTTAGAAATGGGTAAGTTCTTTTCAATTTTTTCCAGAATTACTGCAACTCAACGTCCATTTTAAATACTAAGTCATCATGCATTTACTAATTTGCCAAAAGTCAAGACACCAATCCCATTACTTCTACAATTGAAAACACTCAAATTTGCTAGAAGCCAATGTAAAAATATAAAGTATTTTAAGAACATCTCTTACAAATGCTTTATGTCAAATAATAACCTGACAAGAGTTTTCAATTTTTGCTTTAGGTATGACCTTTGAGTCTGGGAGGATCTTAAGAATTTGTAGAATTTATACAATATATAACAAGACAAGCGCTGGAAGCTCATGCCTATAATCCTATCTACTCAGGAGGCTGTCTGAGGATCACGGTTCTAATACAGCTCTGGCAGTAAAGATCGTGAAAGTCTAATCTCAAATTAATCACAGGGAAAGCTGGAAGTAGTGCTAAGGCTCAAGTGATCAGAGCACTAGCCTTGAACAAAAGGAGCTCAGAGAAGGTAGCCAGGGCCTGAGTTAAAGCCCCAAATGTTAAAGACACCAAATGTACTACTACTACCACTAATAATAATAAAAAACGATTAGTAGCCTAAACAAGGGCCAACACCATTAAGGCCAATTGCTTAACATAAAACATTCTAAGTTCCCAGGAATAAAGTTCTTAACCCAATTTCTGTTTGCTCTGTTATATTCTTGGAATTCTGGGGCTACTTTGTCCAAAAAACTATGTATGTATCAGAAACTGAGGATGTTGCTCAGTGATATAGCACTGAGCTCAAAAACAGTGTATCAATATAAATGTAACATAACATTATACACTACTTAAAACATTCTGATTTTTTTGCAATAGTCGACTCTATTTGAGAAAACTAATTTATCTTTCTAAATGATTCAATTCTCTAAAGTTAAAATAACTATAGCACTGAGTTTATATTTTCTTTCTTTCCATGTGTAAGACTTGCACTTGCTTAGCTTTCTCACTTAAGGCTGGCTCTTTATACCACTTGAGACTTAGCTCCATGTCTGGCTTTTCTCTGGTTAATGGGAGGTAAGAGTCAGGCAGATGAGTCTGCTTCGGCTAGCTTTGAACCATGATCCTCAGATCTCAGCTTCCTGATAGCTAGGATTATAGGTGTGAGACACCAGCACCTGACTCAGAGATTACATTTAAACTAACAAATCTAGCAACCCTAGCGGGGAAAAAAATTCACTTTAAAAAAAAAATCTAAATCTTGTTTACTGTTTAAAGAAAAATAAAAATGAAGAAAATTTTCAATTACACTTCATATTAAATAATTTTACTTAAATATATTTTTTCAAATCTGTAAATTCATGTGTTACATTTAACCTAGTTGTACACATTTGTGAGCTCTATTGAATTATAAACAGTTACTGGATATATATACACAGAAAACTGACAATATTCATATGAAGTAAACCAGTACAATAGTAGCACCAGTACAAAAATAGTATTACATTTAAAGACATATAAAAGAGAAGCCTACAGGGAGTTCAATATATAAACACTGGATTTTAATGTATGCTTTGCTCAATGTTAAGATAGATGTCTTTTTAATTACCACCAAAGTAGAATATCAATGAGAGGAATTTACTCTGGTAGGGAAGAGGAAGAAAATTTCTATTCACCGATGACAGAAAGGAATTCAAAACTTAATTCTACTTTTTAGCTCGTCTGAGTTGGTTCTAATGACAGATAATTTACATCTAATACGTTTATTTAGTATTTGGAAATTGTTCAGTAAGTGAAATCTTACTAGGTCCTTTCTGTTGTTGTTGCCAGTACTAGAGCTTGAACTCAACGCTTTGCACTCTGTACTCACTTGGCTTTCACTCAAGGCTGGTGCTCTACCATTTGAGCTATGCTCTGAGGTCTTTTAAAGATATGCTACTTGAAACACACTCAAAAGAGCTAATTAAAATAGAGGAAAAACAATACTGATACGTAAACATAAAAATGGTACAATAAGCCAGGTACATGCCCACAGTCCCAAAACTTGGGAAGCTGAGACAGGAAGGTCACCTAGAGTTTGAGATCAGCCTGGGCAATAGTGAAATGTTTTTAAAAAAAAAAGTAAAAATAATCACTGGATAATCAATGGGTAAACTAAACATACTTTTGTACAACAGGTACATAAATTCTTTACCTATAGCATAAATACTGACAATGTAAAATATGTACATTGATGAGATGATTTCCCTGTGAAGTTCATTACAAAACAGGTAGGTAATCTACCTAAATATCCACCAGCTGATGAATGGATAAAGAAAACATGGTATATAGTACTCAAAATTCAAAAGGAAAAAAAATTGAATGTACATGGAATTTTTTTTGGGGGGGGAGGGGTGTCAGTCGTGGGGCTTGAAACCTGAGCTCTTCAGCTCAAGGCAAGTTCTGGACCACTTAAGCCACAACGCCTCTCGAGTTTTCTAGTGGTTAACTGGGACTCTCCTGCCCAGGATGGCTTTGAACTGCTATCCTCAAATAGCCTAATGGGATTACAGGCCATCAGCGCCCGGCTCGTGCATGGAATTAAAATAACAATATGCTAAGTAAAAAAGTTTGGCACAGTTAGACATGTGCTGTTAGACATCACTTATTCTCATCTAAAATAATCAAACTCAGAAAAAAGAGAATCCAATAATAGTTATAGTGGGAGATGACGATAAAACGATATCAGGAGAAATACAGTGCTTTGATTTTTTAGCTATATTATAAAATTTGAGTAATGGTGCCAAATTCATTGGATAAAATTGCTAATAAATTTCAAATATTTTCTACAAAAAATATGCTAAACTATCTCCTACAGTAAATTATTTCACATTATATCCATATCATATTGACCTCTATAAATTTTGTGCAATTATAATAAACTTGCAGTTTACAAAACAGTATAGTTCAATATATATCCCTTGAGTCCAATACAAAATTAAGCTCAAAGAGAAAGCTTACAAATGAAGGACTTTTTTCCCTAGCTACATGTTGTCAAGGACTATCCCTGATATATGCGTCTGTCTAGTCACCAACTGAATGAACATTTTATACATTTTATCTATGCAAATTTTACTTTGAAAGCAATAAAATATGTAACATTACTCACTAACATGCAAGTGTATCAAGTCTGAAACTTACTTTGAAATGCATAAAAGAGAGAGAGCACCAGTGGTTCACACCTACAATGCTAGCTACTCAGGAAGCTGAGACCTGAGTATCAAGGTTCTAAGCCAACCTAAGCAGCAAAGTCTTCTATTAACCATTAAAAAGCCAGAAATAGAGCTGTGGCTCAAGTGGTAGAACACCAGCCTTAACTGGAAAAGCTCAGTGAAAGCATCCAGGCCTTGAGTTTAAGCCTTTAAGTGAGCGTAAGTGGGTGTGCACAGAGACACACACAATGAATGCATAAAAGAAAAACATTATTACAGAAAAGGATGAGAAAGTATGTGATATTAAAAAATGTTCAATGGCAGAACTTGAGTAGATACACGGTGTTCACTTAAAATTCTTTCTTTGCATTTGAAAATTTTTTTAACAACCAGCTTTTAAGAAATGAGTAAGATGGCTTTGTACTGGTGGCTCATGCCTATTCTAGCTACTCAGGAGGCTGAGATCTGAGAATTTCCTGGCAGCCCCAGCAGGAAAGTCTATGAAATTCATCTCCAATTATCCAGAAAACCGTAAGTGGAGCTGTGGCTCAAAGTGGTAGAGCACCAGCCTTGAGCAAAAAAGCACAGGGACAGCACCCACTGAATTCAAGCCCCATGATCCACAAAAAAACGAGAAGAAAAGAAAAGGGAAATATAGTGTCAAGCACATACATCAAAAACCTAGTTATATTTATATACTAACTTGCTTCAAATTCTTTTCACAATGTAGGTGGTATAATCTCAACCTTTACAAACATGAAAGTCACAGTATGATTTAATAGTCTCTAAGATGAGCTCAATTCACATTCTTTCTAGAGCAGTGATCTCATCAGATCATTTAATTTCTTTCTTTGTTGATAAAATGATAAGGCCTTTCAGGAAGTGACACTATGGTTCAAGTGGTACAGTGAAGAGCTAAGGGACAGCACCCAGGCCCTGAGTTCAAGCCCCATGACCGACCCTAGCTACTCAGGAGCCTAAGATCTGAGAACTGAATTCTAAACCAGCCCAGCAGGAAGTCTGTGAAACTCTTGTCTCCAATTAACCACCAAAAATGTAGGAAATGGAGCATGGCTCAAGTGGTAGAGCACTAGCCTTGAGCAAAAAAGCTAAGGGACAGTACCCAGGCACTAAGTTCAAGCTCAAAGCAAAAAAAAAAAGAATAGTGATAGCAGAACAGAAAAGAAAATTAAAATGTTATTTTACTTTCTGAATTCTTTATAATTCTCCAATAAATACAGTAAGGCTTATTTCACCTAACTCTTTATATTTATTCTCCAAAACTGTATGCTATTACAGTTTACCTGGTATCTTCAACAACGATAACTGAAACATGAGTTTTTGAATTCTTAATCACTAAATTTTTCAGAAGAACTATGGAGAAAAAGTATAAGATTGAAAGACTGACATTTAAAATTACAAAAACAGTCTGGCACCAGTAACTCAAGTCCATAGCCTAGCTACTCAAGAGGCTGAGATCTGAGGATTGCAGTTCAAAGACAGCCCAGGCAGGATGAGATTCTTATCTCCAATTAACTACCAGAAAACCAGAAGTGGAGCTATGGCTCAAGAAAACCAGAAGTGGAGCTATGGCTCCAAGTGGTAGGACACTAGCCTTGAGCAAAAGAGCTCAGGGACAGTGCCCAGGGCCTTAGTTCAAGCTCCAGGGTCAACAAAAAATAGTAAGTAATAAATAAATAAGTCACAGTAATAAATAAATAAATCACAAAAACAAAAAAACCTAAGAAACTGAAAACTATAGGGCCTGGGGATGTAGCCATGTAGAACATCTGGTTACCATGCTGAATGCCCTCAGTTCAATACCCAGTACAAAGGAACAAAGAAGAAAAAAGTTATAGCTGTGTAACAGAAGTATGCTATATATACAGCAGCCCTGAGCTTTGATATGAATTAAATTTAAATAATTTAAATCATTAGCCAGATATTAAACACCTTTTCTACTCAAAGACTTAGTTTTGTTGGTTATTACTTCACAATCAGATGAAGGGATTTAATTTCAAAAACACAGTGTATATCCACCTGAATTTATTTTATTAAAAGAATTACTTCAATTTGACCAAGTGTATAAAAATTACTAAATATTTGCATAACTTTAACATATACCAATAACCACTTGGGCCATAAGGAAACTTAAATACTAGATATCTAAATTTTGCTATTAATACTCCTTAGAAAGTTACGTTTTTATTTCTACATTTTAGCTAGGTAGCTATGGATAACAAAATTTTTATATAACATGTCATCGAAGTTTCAGATAATTTCCCATGTTTCTCTATACAAAGCCAGTTTTCAACATTCTGTAGCGTATAAACGTGCCTTCTTCAACATTTTGGTACCATCAAATGACAACTGCTAAAATACTAAAAGAAAAGACAAAACATGGCCTACTGAAATACTTCCTTTAAAACCAATTAAAATTAAAATTTCATATTTTTCCATTTGTACATATTACACCAAAACTTTTATACTTTTATCTCAAATAAAACACAACAGTGTGAATTTAAAAAAGTCATCTGATTTCATTTGTAAATGATTTTACAATCTTTAAAAAGATTTTCTGGGGATATAACCTATCTGCTTAGCAATGCAGAAGGCCCTGATTTCAATTCTCAACACACTCAAAAGTTTTAATAATGGGCCAGGTACAGAGGCTTAAACCTGTAATCCCAGCTACTTTGGATTGGGAGATCATAGGTAGAAGTAAGCCTGGGCAAAAAGTTTTCAAGACCTCATCTCAAGCAACAAGTCAGGTATGGTAGCATACTTTGGCTCCATCTACAGGAGGTTCACAATTTGAGGCAACACTAGGCAAAAATGAAAGATGCTACCTAAAAATAACTAAAGCAAAAAAAAAAAAAAAAAGCTGAGTCAAGTTATAATGCCTGCCTAGCAGGTGCAAAATCTAGAGTCCAAACCCCAGTAATACACACACACAAAAAAAAAATAATAATATTATTTCTAGCACACTTTAAAAACTCTTTCACAGAAAAAAGATCTGATGAAGAATGCTAGTATGTAAAAACAGATAAAAAGCAGAGGGTTACCATACCCATGGGATCAAGGAATCCTTCCTGTGGTCTCCCCTAGGCAGTTCCTGAAACGCCTGTGCAGAATAACAAAAACTCTTCTGACAAAAACTTTTCTTGTGACAAAAACCATTTTAAGTCCTTGTGACAAATAATGAAGAAATGTAAAGAATCTGTTACCAAATAAAACAATAAGACAATTCTTTCAGGTAGTAATTCCCAAATGTCTTTTATAGTCCATGTATAATTTCTAAGAGTTTGAACAAGTCAAAGAAATTTTATATTATATCTTCTCTTAGAATTCATTCAAATTCATGTTTAAATGCATCTCCTAATATAAAGTCTGAAACCAAATAGTTAAAAAAAAGACCCAACTGTTTAATCCAATAAATTTCTTAAGTTTATATGAACATAGAAACTGTTTAAGAGGAACAGGTACTATATACCTTTAATATTAGAATTCCTCAAAAAAAAAAATTTAGCAAACACTGACATAAGAGATGTTAACTGAGATTACTATAAGAGCCAAAATATTTTTAAATGTACATATATTTAAAATTTCACATTTTACAAATGACCTTTCTCTACCTTTTTAGATATAACCTTTCATAACTTTTAGGTAAAAGCATAAAGTTATTACTATGGGCATAAAATTTAGAACACATAAATAAGAAATGAATTGTTTTCATCCTTTCAAGACTATACTTTTGCAGATTCTACCACCAGTTTTAATTTCTTCTGACTTATACAGTCCTCTCCAATATATTCTAGGAATATAGATTAGCAGAAGGGAACATGTGGCTGAACAAATGGCCAACATGAAGCTGAACACAATTACAGCTTTCTATAACACAAAAAGTAATAACACAATCCACAAACTGAAAACTATTTTTTTCAAACTTTTAACTGTGCTGATAAATTCTGTAATATAATTCTCATTGTCTTAAGAATCTAGGACAAAAATTTTATAACATATTTTCCACAAATCATTTTTTAGGGAAAACAAAAGCAACAAGTTTCATTAACTAAAAAGAAATTGGTTTTAAAAATACAGAAATGATTTTTAGTAACAGAAATGATGAATTATTTACTGATACCCAATACCATTTTTTCTGCTGTTTTCTAATGTTTAAATTAAGTAAATATACACATCTTTAAAACCACTAGGTAGCCAGACACAAGTGGCTTATGCCTGTAATCCAAGCTACTCTGAAGGCTGAGATCTTGAAGAGCCCACTTTGAAGCCAGTCAGGCAGGAAAGTTTGTGAAATTCTGATCTCCACTTAATCAGCAAAAAGCCAGAAAGTGAGCTATGGCTTTAGTAGAGCAGGAGCCTTGCACAAAAAAGCTCAAGGACAATACCTTGGGTTCTGAGTATAATCTACAAGAATGAAAAAATAAAATATAGCAAAAAACAAACTAGGGGTTAAAAGTACACCTCAGAGGTGCAATGTTCCCCTAACAGTCCTTTGCCCCCTCAAAAAAAAAAACCTAAAAACTACCAGCTATTAATAATCTGATGAATCTCCATGCCACCACAAAGTGTTCATACAATCTTTATAATTCTATTTTTAACACTACCAAGCTGTATTTAAACCTGCAGTGTTTTTTCCTTTTTGTTCATAGTGAGGATTGTACTCACAGCTTCTCACTTGCTGGGCAAGTGGTCTACCACATGGGAAATGTCCTCAGCCCAAAACTTGTAATTTTTCTCTACATTTTTTATGAACACAAATTTGTTGTGTTTCACTTTAACATGTTCACATATGCAAATAATGTTCCTTGATCAGACTCACTTCTGTCACTCTTCTTCAACCCCCACCAATCTTGTTTTCTTGGCAGCATCAGAGTATGAACTCAGAGCTTCATGCCTGTTACAGAAGTGTTCTAACACTGAGTTATATCTCAACGCCATCTGAGGTAATTTCCAGTGAAATTCAAATTGGAATGCCTCATAAAAAGAAAATACTAGCCAAGCACTGGTGGTTCATGCCTATAATCCTAGCTACTCAGAAGGCTGAGATCTGAGGATTGAGGTTCAAAGCCAGCCCTGCCAGGCAGGGAAGAGTTGCGACTCTTATCTCCAATTAAATCACAGAAAAAGCTGGAAGGGGTGCTGTGGCTCAAGTGGCAGAGTGCTAATCTTGAGCAAAAGAAGCTTAGGGATAGTGCCAGACCAGAGTTCAAGCCTGGGGATGGGCGAGAGAGAGAGAGAGAGAGAGAGAGAGAGAGAGAGAGAGAGAGAGAGAGAGAGAGAGAGAGAAATAGAGAGAGAAAAATAGAGAGAGAGAAATAGAGAGAGAGAGAGAGAGAATATACTATATTTAACCAAAAAAAAGAAAAAAAGAAACTCTTCCCTCATCCCATCCACACACCCCCAATCCCCTTCATATAAAAATTTTTACCTAACTAAGCCTATTTGGTTATTACAAAGATACAGCGGTAATAAAAAATTAAACTATTTCAACATTCAAATAAATCTAACCATAATATACAAAAATAATTCTCATCTGCATATCTGCATATCATCTCTAAGGAAAACTCTCCTGGCCCATAAACCCACAACTAAATTAATTCACTCATTGAATTGAATAACTAAAAAGGAACTGAATAACTAAAAAGGAAGTAAATACTGAAGTTGAACTTCCTAAAATCTAAAACGATCAGAAGACTTACCTGATTTGTCTGGCTACTTAAGTATGGCTCAAAATCATCGTCATTTACAGCATCTTTTTGATGAATCGAACCGTTTTGTACTGAAACTAAAAAACATATTTGCATTAGTTGTTGTAACTGTCACAATATAGCCTAATATTTTTATACTTTTCAAGTCAACTCAAAAAGAATTATAAAGGGTTTATTCACAGAAGTACCTTAGTAAGGCTTAATTTAATTTTAGACATTTGTCACAGAAAACTAGGAAATTCTGTAGTATACATCCCAAGATTATATAAACAAAAGCTATATACATATGTCCCCTTCTCAAAACTTAAAATATGCCCAATTTCAATATTGTGGTTATATAATAATGTTGGTTCCCCTATAATAAGGTTCCCTAAGTTGTATTTAGATTGAAAATAGCTATTCAAATAGTGCTGTAGACACCAGATTTCTAAAGGTTTTCTGCCTTTATTAAAATCTATTAATCTGATAAAAGTAAATAAGGAATTAAATAATTACATTTTTCAAGACATGATCTTACTAGGTAGTTCAGGCTGGTCTAAAACTCCAGATCCTAATGCCTCAGCATCCAAAGTTCTGACATTATACAGTATGTCTGGCCCTGAAATAATCTGTATCTTACATTCCAGTAAATGTCTTCAACACCTCCAAAGAATGTAGCTAAGATTCCTTTTAAAGAATATTGAGGCCAGGCACCGGTAGCTCCTGCCTGTAATCCTAGCTGCTCAGGAGGCTGAGATCTGAGGATCATGGTTCAAAGCCAGACTGGGCAGGAAAGGGCATGAGACTTATCTCCAGTAAACCACTCAGAAAACCGGAAGTGGCGCTGTAGCTCAAGTGGTAGGGCGCTAGCCTTGAGCTGAAGAGCTGAGGGAGAGCGCCCAGGCCCAGAGTTCAAGCCCCACCATTGACCAAAAACTATTGAAATAAGTAAACAGATGAAAAATATAAATTAAACAAGTGCCTGCTGAGTATAGTGACTCAATCCTGTAATCCTAGCTACTCAGGAGGCTGAGACCTGAGAATTGGCAGCTTAGCCAGAGAAAGTCTGAGACTCTTCAATACCAAAAGGCCAGAAATGACATTGTGGCCTAAAAGCTCAGCGACAGTGCCCAGGCCCTGGGTTCAAGCCTCATGACCAGCACCCCCCCGCCCCCCGCCCAAAAAAAAAAAGCAAAACAAAAACCAAAAGCAAAAGAAAGTCACTTAGGGTAAGCATGGTAGTACATTCCTGTAATCCCAGCACATGGGAAGTAGTTGACTCAGGTGAATGATCAAGTTTAGTCCAACCTGAGATACAATGAATTTTGGGCAAAACTATGCAAAACAGTAAGACATTATCTCTAAAAGCAAAACAAAGGCCTTACTTCTAAACCAAAAAGTACAAGCATGCAGGAAGAACGTGTTTAGAATGCACAAAGGCCCTGGGACAAGTAAGCAAAAGACTCATATGAAAGTACAGTGAGAACAAAGCAAAGATAACCATGATTACTCCTGAGACACAAGAAAAAATAAGTCAAAAGTAATTTAGAATGGCACACTTTTGTTTAGAGGTCACTTCTATAAATGCTCTACATACAAAGTTATTCAAAATACATCTCAGAATACCTCAGAGTACAGAATACAAAAGTCCTGTTTTAAATTCCAAATTCATCACAAAGACAGGGGACTTCCAGTAGTGACCTAATCCCTCTAACTCTCTGATGACTAGTCTGTTCATGGAGGTTATTCATGTCATTTCAGTATTAAATGACAATATTCAGTAATCTTGGAAAGTATTACACTAAAAATAAGATCCAAACAGTACTAAATATGAAGCAATAATATAAAAGCAGGTTAAGTATTACTAGGCTAAATTTGATACGGTAGCACTATGTAAATGTACTACTGAAATATGAGAATAGCTCAAGTTTCTGAGGAATGTCAATCTTTAAAAATGCTATTCAATATTTAAATATTTACTGTTGAATATTACAATGCCATAGTATTTTAAAAAATGGAGGTAGAAGTTTTTTAAGTGGTGTGTTTCTTTGTAGCATAGTAACACCTTCACTTTCTCTAATTTTGCCACCAGTTTCCATCACCTAAAAATTACTGGTTAACAGTGACAAAGATATATGCAACCCCTAATGCTTTGCCAGGCAATGAGCAATAGTACTGATAAGTCTTCAAAGTAGACTTTTTGATACTTCATGATCCCTCTGGAGCCACCTGAACTGGTCAGCTTGATCCTGATTCCATTGTAGTTTAATTGTATTTGATAAGCTCTGCATTGGAGCTAGGGTTGAACTAAACATGTCTTCCAGAATTTATATACACACACACACAAAAATAAAGAGGGTGCCTTGGGATATGCATCCAGTGACATTTTAAGCCTGGGCCTAATCATTGCAGTTCAAGACATTTGTTTTTACCCACTAGTTTTACTACTCCTGTACCAAAGGCAATGATGCATGGACTTTTTACTCCTAGAAAAAAAAATCCTCAGTATTGGACACTATATATTTATAAAAACAGCCAATAATTTTGAAGTTACAACTTTCATATAAATTCTCAAATATCTTGTCCATATTGCTGATACGTTAAAAAAGTACCTAATTAACAGACTTCTCAAGTAAGATACAAACTAGCCCTTGAGTTTCAGAATACCTTTCTTTAAAAACTTTAACTGATACATGAAGACTTTAGTGTCTGAATGTTATTTAATGACAATCTAATGTATTGGAGACTGAAAATATTAGATAGTAATGAAATCCAATCCAGTTCCACAGTCCATAAAAGTTCTTCAGGGGAAAAAAGAACAGATGACTTACATGATTCTTCGCCTGTTCCCTCTGCTCTATGAAACAGAGTCAAATCAAGATAGAACATGGGCCTTAGAAGCCAGGTGATTCTTTGTTCTGGTCCTGACTACATCAAGTTAGGAAAGTCAACAGATGTGTGCATCATGTTTTCCCACCTATAAAAACAGCGACAATACCATATACCCTCTATCTCCTTAGAGGAATGTTGTGAGGATTATTAATAAAATGAAGCCTAAAATTATAGGAAAGAGCTGTGAAATTATTGGGGGGGAAGATAGAGAAAAGATAAAACAATATTGCCAAAATATAAGGCATTTTCAGCTACTTTTCTCAAACATTAAAACTTATTCAAATTCAACCTAATTCTTGTAAAGTGCAAAATGATGCAGAACATGGTCCTTCCATTAGGAGGGGAAGGAAATAATATTGTCTTTTCCAGTATTTCTTAGTATAAACTTAAGGGACAGGAGAACGTAGGCATGGAAACCTAGGAAAGCATGTGACCCTTGCATCCATAGTGCTTACAACTAAAGGTACAGCACAATTTTCTTCTAGCAAGCAAACTTTCTACTTTTCAATAAAGTAATATAATGTCATTATTAAATTATGGACCAACAGATACTCTTAAGTTACAACTATTCTCTGGTACTATCTTTACCAAGTATAATAGAATTCTGATATTTCACATAAGGACATTCTGTTAGACTCAACTATTAATCATACTTCAAGAGTATTTTTGTCTTAGTAAAGACACTTTAGAACAATTTAAAGGCAATTAAAAAATTCCTTTTGGTGTTAAACAAATACATAAATAATAATCAATGTTCCTATGTGAAAATGGAACTGGGATACCTGCGCGGGTGGAAGAGGTGGGAATAGATGGAAAATGATGGGGTGACGCTGATGAAATGTACATCTAATATAATGTGCTGAATTGGAAACTTTCAATATTACTAAAGATGAAAAACTTGAAAAAAAAATTCTTTTTAGTATCAGGTACAGTGGTTTATCTACACTTTCAGGTACTTGGGAGGAATCAGAAGTACTGAGGTTCAAGCCAGCCAGAGCAAGTTGACAAGACACCCCTTCCCCCATATCAACCAATAAAGCTGGGAACAGTGTCATCCCAACTATGCAGGCCCAGGCTGGCCAAGGCAAAAATCAAAATGCTACTGCAAAAAAAGGCTGAATCCAAAATTCTCCAGGAAATAAAGGGCTAGATTTGTGGCTCATGTGGTATAAACCTGCCCAACAAGTTCAAGGCCCTAAGTTAAAACTCCAATACCATCAAAAAACAAAAAGAATCTTTTTCCTTCCTTCAGTACATTAAATAAGGATATAAGAAAAATCAAAGACACTAAAGACAGGTGTCAGCTGAAGGTAATTGAGAAAACAGTCATCTGTGAAATTACAATAAGTCAACTGAAAATGATAATGCTTTAAGTGCCACCATCTTCTAGAGGACATGCACTCTTAAAAAGCTCACTAAGTTTTGAACTTAAGACTAAAACTGAGAATATGAAAGTTGTAAATCAAGAAAATAGCTATGCTTTCTGATGAATGAAAGTAACCACAAATACTGCAAAATAATTTCACTAGCTTGAACATCATGTCAGCTAAGGCAGAGTTTTGCTCATATACACACAGCTACTTGTATTAAGTCACTGCTGGCTCAGACCTGGCCTTGTAATTCTTCTTCCCTTCAAAGGCATACAAATACCAATAACAGATGGTATATTTGTGCACTTGTAGTATCTAATATTTTAAAGCAACTTACATTACTAATACTTTCAGACCAGTAGCTTTTTTCCTCCTCAGAAAGTGAGAAGAAATCCAGCAACTACAATGGCTACTAAAACAATAAATCACTGTAATTACAACAATCCTCTTCACAATAGGATTAAAGGCTAGTAATACTTTCTAGAGGGGAGATTGTAACAAAAGTGTTCAAACTCTCTTGGAAATCAGTAGCTACAGACAGTGTTATAATTCAAGATCCCAAAAAATCCAAGTCCATTATCTTATCCTTGGATCAAATTATGAACTAAACAAAAGGAGAGAAAATACTGATAGATTATACTTTATAAAGATCCAAAATATTTGTTAATATGTGATGTAATTTGTAGCTAATTTACATCTGTAATATCAGCCATTATGATATAATGTAGTTTACATGGAATTTTGGTCTATAATATCAAATAGATCACTAGGTCAATAACTAAATGAAATGATCTTATAATAAGTCAAACTCATAGGACTTAGAACACTTAGATGATCTATTAGCTTTACCAAACAAGTATTTTACAGAATTTGTGTACTTACCTTAGAGCAGGTAACACAAGACACTTAGCATTTCAAATAGCCTTGCAAAGTGCCACTTCCCCATAGATCTAGGATAAAATAATTTATGCTAGGGAATAATGACCACACATTTAACATATCTCCATATCTAAATACTTCCTATGGACATACTAGCAAAATAGTTAATGGATCACCCCTTTTAAATTTAGAAGTTTTACAAAATTTTTAAAACATAACACCCCTAAGATTTATTCTTACAATATAGAAAACCATTTTAAAAATAAAACTGAAATACTTAAATTTCAAAGTGTAGGTATTGAAAGAAAACACCTCTAATTAATGCAATGAATTTTTGCATTATGTAATACCATAGTATCTAGCAAGTACAAGTTCTTATATAAAATGTAGTACAAAATTATAGGAGATCAATCTGTGTAAAGAGAACCTATTTCTTTTCAAATTGGCTAATTCCTAACTAAAACTCTTAAGAAGAATTTAAAGAAAACCAAGAAAAATGTTAAACTTACATCTAAAAAGCTATTACACATCCCACTTTCTAAGTAATAGTTACTGAAATTTTAAAAAAAACAGGAAGTATCTTTTTATTCAGTGTCATTTAAACCCTATTTCAAAACTTTATAAATACATAATACACTCTAACGTTATTTAATTGGCACTGTCCCAAGAAGGCAGTTATTGTTCTACAGTTACTAATGTCACATGATTGTCATGTTTCAGTCAGCTGACATTTTTCCATATTAATAAGTAAAAACCACATTTATGTTTTACAATGTTATAGATTTAGCACTTTTACTAAAGAGTAAATCATATAATCCTAGTAGAAAATCTCATAAATGATTTCCTTCTGGGCCCTCTGTAAAATGCCAGATTGAGTCACACCTTGCAAGCAGAGCTATTTAGCAAGACAACATGCTTGTTGAGTTCCCTCCAATGTGGCCTCCTTGCAACTGACTTAGGAATCCACAATTAACAGCCTGATCTTCATTAATGTGACACGGGACATTATGTGAATTCCAAAAGTGTCAATGCAATCAAGACATGGCAAATAAAATGTCCACTTGGGAAACACACTTAACGGATACATATGGACTAGTACTTGTGAAAGTTATATAACACAAATAAAATGAAAAACTAAAAATATACCACTACATAAACAATAATATCTCCTTGAACGAAATAATACAACGAAGAAAGCAGTTTCTTCTACTACTTTGGTTTCCCTAAAAGAAACTTCAAAGCCAGAAACTACCCCCAAGTTTTGATGTCTTAGCCTTGAGGGATGTTTTTCCGAATCCTGTATTTTTCTTAAGGAAAAAAAAAAATGGAAGAAAAATAACTTGACATAATATAAAGGCAACATGAGAGCAACATTGAAAAGTACTATAAATATATCTATGTACACACACACACACATATATATGTATATATACATATATATGTATGCATGTATGTCCCAGCTCACCTTTATTTCCTTGCCCTTTAGGTCTCTGTAGCAAGACGCCGGGTGCGGTAAACAGAAGAGAAAAAAAAAAAGTCTGTTAATCAAAGACATTACCAAAAACAAGTTATTTTAAACAATCCGCGTAGGAGGAGTAAGACCCACCATATCTTCCGCAGCCTCCAATATTCCAACCACCTCCAGCGTCAAGCCTCCCACCGCCCTACGCATTTCGTGTGCGGGAGGGTTGGGGTCCCAGCCCCGAGCTGCCGTCTGGGCATGGACCCCAGGATCGGGCTTTCTCACCTCCGGCGGAACCCCGCCCGCCCGCCCGCCCGCCGGCCCCGCGGCCCCCTGCCCGAGGGCTCCGGACACAGCGCAGGCTGGGCCTGGCCCAGGCCCGAGCCTGGCCCCGGCCACAGGACCGCAGCAACTTGCGCTCCTGGGCGGGCACCGTTACGGGGCCGGCGGCGGCGGCGGCGGCAGGGACGGCGGGGAGGAGCCGGAGCTCCGCGCGAGGGTGGAGCTCCGGGGCTCAGGCCTCCGCCGAGCCTGGGGCCTCGGCTCCCTCACCTGATCCACGCTAGTGGCTGACATTCTTCACCGCAACCCGAGAGGAGCCGCCGCCGCCGCCGCCTGGGCCTCTCCCCGTGCACTCACAGCAGTCGGCTGCCGCCCTCGGCGAATGATTGTTCCCGCGGCCGCCTCTGCAGCCGATCGCTGAGAGAGAGAGAAAAGCGGGCCTCGCGCACGGGAGTCGGCGGAAAGGGCCCGTCTTTTCCGCTTGCACGTTCCTCTTCCCCCTTCTTGCTCTCCGCTTCTCGGGTCCACAATGGCGGACAGGCTCCTGAGTCTCACTTCCGCTCCGAGCCTCGCTGACCTTCCGCTCTCCACTCTGACGTCCGCGCTCACCTCGCTCTTCCTCCCCCTCCCTCGCGCCACAGATCTTGGCTCCGCCCCCCGCGTCGCCACGTCACCGCAGACGCCAGGGGCTGAGGACCCGGGGCGCTTGCGCCCTGGTGAGCGTGCGCGAGCCTCCCTGCGCGCCCGCTCGAGCCTCCCTGCGCGCGCCCGTTGTGGCTCTGGGGTCCGTGGCTGCCTTGCAGGGCCCGCGCGGAGCGGCGGCGTTGGAAGGGCGGTCAGGGCTCTTTCCACCCCCCATTGGGGTAGGAAGCCACCGTGGGCTGGGATGGGCGAGCTCGGTAAAGGCTGAACGCGGGAAGAGAGGCGGCGTGGGCCGCTGAGTGACTCAGCCGCCTGGGGGGCCACCGTTGCCGGGCTGTCCCGAATCGGCTGTCCCGAAAGTGGCTGGGTTGGAGCCGGCACCGATGCGGTTAAAAGGGGGCGCCAGCCGTGCGCTTCGGCCCGCGCTCCCCGGACGTCCGCGAAGCGCTGTCCCGAGCATCGTCGGCCTCGGAAGTCCGTTCTCCCCCCGGGTCTGCGCGCTCGCCTTTGTGCTGTTCCCTCTCCTTCGCGCGCCTGTGGTGTTTAGACGTGCAAGGAAGGAAAGTTAAACGATCTAATAAAAAAGTAGAAATGTTACCTTCCTAAGCGGGCAACACCCAAAGAAAACACATGCGTCTCTGTGATGCCCGTGTGTGCGCGCGAGGGAGCGAGGAGACGCTGGGGCCTCAGCCCAGGGCCTGGACGCTGCTCCGAACTCTGTGCTCAAGACCAGCGCTCTGCCACTCGGGCCACAGCTCGACTTCCGGCTCTCTAGGCATCCTAGATCCTTGTATCTCAGCCTGCTGGGTAACATGACATTTTTAATTAACACATTTTTTTTGTGATAAAGGCAAAAAAAAAAAAAAAACCACTCCTTGTCATAATGGTACAGTAAACAAATTATTTCCATTAAAGCCTTTGAATACCTCAAAGCTATCCAAAGTTATTGCTCATTTAAAATATATAGAATCGCTAAATTGTAGAATTAGTTTACTGTATTACCTTGCAACAATAGACTCCCTGAAGCCATCTTGAGATGCCACTTTTCATATAATCAAGAACCTTTTTTTATTGTGCCAGGGCCTGTGTGATGTTAGTGACTTTTTGGCTCAAAGCTAGAGCTCTGCTACTTGAGGCACAGCTTCACTTCCAGTTTTCTGTTAGTTAATTGGAGGAAAGAGTCTCAGAGACGCTCCTGCATTCCTTGAAGGAGATCTGAAAATCTCATACTCCTGCGTAGCTAAGATTACAGTATGAGCCAACAGCACCAGACCCTGAGGCACTTACAAGTTCTATTTGGACACTGTTTACCCTCCCATTCATTCTTTGCTGCAAGTTCTAGACCCAGCCAGAACTCTTGGAATTTCCAATAACCCCATCATCCTTTCAGCCATAGCTTTCATGCTCTCAAATTTCCTTGTCCACTCCCATGCAGACCTTTTTAGCTTTCCAGAGCTTACAGCTCAAAAGTAATGTACTAGAGAAAGCTTTCGGGGCTTTCTTTGATCCTTAAATTATCTTTGAAGCATGGCTTTGGAAGGTAACAAACCACCAAAGCTGCTATACTCACCACTGCACCATTAATACTGTGTAAGGAAGCATGAATTTGGTACCCACTCAACCTGAGTTGGAAAATCCCTGAACTCAACTGAGTCTTAGCTCCCTCCTGGCTTAAAAAGGTCTTAAATTCATGGCACAGAGTAAGCTTTCTGCCAGTTGTGGCTATAGACAGCTAAATCTGGCATCCTTTGCAAAGTGATTCCTGGAATGACACAATAACTTTATCTATTGAGTATTCATTAAATGTTAGGCATGGTGATAACCATTTAAATCCTCACAGCATTATAGGTAATAAGTGCTATTATAAAAACTGACACACAGCAGGGTTAAGAAATAAGCCCAGGGCTGGGAAGATAGCTCAGTGGTAGAGTGCATGCCTTGCAAGCATGAGGCCCTGGGTTCGATTCCACAGCACCACATAAGCAAAAAGAAAAAAGCCGGAAGTGGCGCTGTGGCTCCAGTGGTAGAGCACTAGCCTTGAGCTGAAGAGCTGAGGGACAGTGCCCAGACCCAGAGTTCAGGCCCCATGACCGGCAAAAAAAAAAAGAAGCCCAAGGGGCTGGGGGTTTAGCCCAGAGGAAGGGCGCCCGCCCTGCTCATGCAAGGCCCTGGGTTCGGTCCTCAGCCCTGGAAAAAAAAAGAAAAAAAGTGAGAAGCCCAAGGGGTGCTGGGAATGTGGCTTAGTGGTAGAGTGCTTGCCTAGCATGCCTGAAGCCCTGGGTCCCATTCCTCAATACCATATACACAGAAAAAGCCAGAAGTGGATCTATGGTTCAAGTGGTCCAGCGCTTGCCTTGAACACAGAGAGGCTCAAGAACTCAGGCCTAAGCCCTGAGTTCAAGCCCCAGGATCAGCAAAAAAAAAAAAAAAAAGAAAGGAAAAGAAAGAAGAAAGAAGCCCAAATAAGAACTAGTCACTGTGAAAGCCAGGCTTTACACACAAGTAATTTGACCCCAGAATGTATGTCCAGCCTCTGTAATTGATGAGAATCTGCTTTGTTCTCATAACTCCATGTTACTCCCTTCTCAGCCCAATTCTTTTTATGTATCCAAAGATTCTATATGAAGAACTTGTCTCTCTCCTCTTGGCCCTATCATTTTGTGTATCTAAAGATGGACTATGAAGGATTGGCCCTCACCCTATTGTCCCAGACCAATACAGACGCCAGGCAATATCCCAGGTATGTGTAAACTTTATTTGAAGTGCAGGCAGGGCAATCCACCTAAGCCCCCCTGTAAACTTCCCATGTGGGCCCAACTGAAAGGCCCCCACCTTCCTTGACCTAGTGGCTTTTTCATTAACCTCTGCCTCCTTGCTCAGACCTCCTATAAAAACTCAGCTCCAGTCCCAACTCTTGGGGAACAACCTCCAAACCTGCAGAAAGGTCTATGCCCCTGGCTATTCCTCAATAAACAGCCCTAGGCCAATTCCTTTTCGGTTCTCCATTTTCCTAACAGTAATAATACTGCCTAATGGTACGGTGTTCAAATAAACTTCTGTTGTCTTTCATTCCTGCCTCTCAACAAAATTCCTTTTTTATGGCCTTTCCTCCTAACAATGAGGTCAGAAATTGTTGAGTAGAATGCTAACAACTCTCTGATAAAAAGTCATTTTATATTTAGTTTTTTTTTTCAATACCAGGAATCAAATTCAGTGTTTTGAGTATGCAGAACAAGCAGTCTACCACTGATCTAACCTCTGCGATCCCCTAATAACCTTTAAGAAACCCTTAAAACTAGCTCCAGTGCCTCAAAGATGTTATTTTGGAAAATGCTGTTCTAGCATCTAAAACACAGGGGTGGGGAAATTCTTTTCTGCCAACAGCCAACCATGCAGAATTATCAGTATAGGCAGATGGTTGTGGGTATCTGAGGAAAAGTATAAGAGAAGTATGCATGTCTATCCTGTCATGCGCCAAATCATTTCCAAGGACTTACACTGTCTATGGGCAGAATGTTCTCCACCCATGATTATACACAAAATTGGTATAGCCTTGTGGTCTACACAGCACAGTACAAAGCTTGAAATCAAACAGAGCAGGCTGGATTTAAGACCCCCCCCTTTGACTCATCCCTGTGTTCTTTTTTTTTTTTTTTTTTTGTCAGTTGTGGAGCCTGAACTCTGAGCCTTGGGCACTGTCCCTCAACTCTTCAGCTCAAGGCTAGCACTCTACCACTTGAGTCACAGTGCCACTTCTGGCTTTTTCTGTTTATGTGATGCTGAGGAACCAAACCCAGGGCCTTGTGCATGCAAGGCAAGCACTCTACCACTGAGCCACCTTCCCAGTCCCATCCCTGTGTTCTTAGCTGGTGATATTCCACTCTTCAGAATTATAACTTCTGGGTGACAGTCGTTTCCATTTCAGCGAGGTTTAACTGCAGGTGTCATTAAGTTCAAAATACCAGAAACTTAAGATAATAGTCTGCTTTTCTCCCATGGCCAGAGGTAGTCCAGAGTGAAGACTGCTGTAGTGGCAGATCTCCAGGCTCCTGTTACCAAACCAGGCCTATTTTACCCTCCATATGTGAAGTATGCCAGTCACTGAAGTTGCAGGTTTTAGAAAAGAGAAAATTTATTCACAAATCAGTGAGTGAACTTGGAAGAACAAATGTCAAGTTTACCTGATAGGCTACAGGAGCAAGGACAAGATGATTGGAAGCAAGGAAAAGTGAAATGATGGGTGGTTTGTACATGTATGATCAAACTCCATGGATTTGCATGGAATGCAAGCTCAACATGGTGGTCAGCATTCTCTAAAATCAAAAGATCACCCAGGAGACCCTTGTACAGGCTCAAGTGAATGAAGGGTCACTGCTTTGAGCTATTTTTTTTTTTTTTGGGTCCGGTCGTGGGGCCTGAACTCTGGGCCTGGGCGCTGTCCCTCAGCTCTTCAGCTCAAGGCTAGTGCTCTACCACTTGAGCCACAGTGCCACTTCCGGCTTTTTTCTTTTTGCTTATGTGGTGCTGAGGAATCGAACCCAGCGCCTTGAGCATGCAAGGCAAGCGCTCTACCACTGAGCCACCTTCCCAGCCCATGAGCTATTTTTTTAATGGTCTGGATTTTCATTGCTGTGACAAAATGTCTGAGTAAACAATTTAAGGGAGGAAGCAATTGTTTTGATTCATAGTTCCAAAGGTTTCAGTACATGGTCACTTGGTCCAATTGCTTCTGTGTGGGATAAGGCACAAGTCATTGTGGGGAAAATGTGGAGGGGAAAAGCAGCTAACCTAATAGTGAGCAGTGAGTGGTGTGTGTGTGTGTGTGTGTGTGTGTGTGTGTGTGTGTGTGTGTGTGTGTGTGTGTGTGTGTGTGTGTGTGTGTGTGTGTGTGTGAAAGAGGGCAGGGAGAGCCTTCAAAGCCCTGTCCCAGGGGCCTACTTCCTCCAACAATGT